GGGATAGACGCTTTAGGCGAATGTGGCTTGCACCCCCAGGCGTGGCGCAGAAACGGTGCTCTGGGAGTCACCGACCGCAGCTTGCGTGAGAGCGTCGTTTGGGACGACATGTTTAGATGTTGGTACTCAAGTGTGTTTGTGGTGGCAGACAGGGTGGTGATTGTATACCAAAAGAATAGTGGGTTGTCAAAGGAGGCTTCGTGGGCTGTTTAGAACGAGAGTTGAGGTGGCTACGGAAGATACAGTACAAGGGCAGTCGTAAGTGAGTCTGTAAGGAGAGCGGACATGCCGCGCATGTTTCGGGGGGCTTTGTCTCTGGCGCCACTTGTCGACATGCTTAAGCGGCAGTACATGTGGGTATGTACTGTACAGGGTTAGAAAGAATTAAAGTTTGAAGCAAGCAAGGCGGGGCTTCTGGGATGGAAACGATGGTGAGGACGAACGTTCGGATTCGAAATCGTGTGCCAGAAGGGTTTGCGCTACAAAGCTATAAATTCTCGCGCGTATCGACAGGATTGCAAACGTTAACAGTGCGGAAGGGGAAGGTGCCGAGGGGTACGAGATGAGGGGTACGAGATGAGGGGTACAAGATGAGGGGTACAGGATGCGGGGTACAGGATGCGGGGTACGGGATGAGGGGTAAAAGATTGGGTGAGGGGGTCCAAAATCCGTGGTGCGTGACACCAGGAATGCGAAGCATATCATAAGGGTGGATGGCGGCGAATCTCGCGTGTGTCGGTACAGTACAGTATACCGCACGACGGTATCTTTGTTGAAGCAACGGGATGATTTGAGGAAAGAAAGAGCGGCACTGCACCGCCGCGGCCGGACGGCCCGAGAGGCCCGTGCAAGCAGCGCATCTATGGTCGGGGCGATGCCCCGCCTCTTACCTCATTCATGCTTCTCTCCTTGGGCCTCCTGCTCCCCGATCGGGCCCGTGGCACCGCGTCGCGTCGTCTCGCGAGGCAGCCCAAGAATTGAAACCGGCCAATGGGCGCCAGCTACAGTCGCGATACCACGGCGGTATCAGCAGCATCGTCACGCTTCAAAGACTGACTGCAGAAAAGGAGCGACGCGTGAGAATTGGAAAAACGGCCGTCTTTGATCTCTTGCCCCAAGCATAACGGATTGAGGTTTGTGCGTCCTAGAAACTCCTCTCTCGAGTAGGACTACTCCCCCAAGGGACGACACTAACCTGAATTTCGACTCTCAATACATGTATGCTCGAGTACAATACTGTAGAATGCGCTGTTCGCGCACACCACAACTCGTTCCCGCGAGTGTACCCGCCCGCCTGCATCACGTATTGTACCTCGCGCTGAGTTTTATTTATTTTATAAATACTGTATCCTCGCTGAAAAAGAAACAAGTTTTGCCCTTAATATATCGCGCTTCTCTCATGTGCTTCGAAAAACGTGGAGTGTGCAACAAACTAGTCGCATGCGTGTGAAAACAAATTGCCCGCCCTTAACGATCGTTTGCACGCGGTCAGTAGAGAGTTTCGACAAGTGCCGTACGGTAGATTTTTCGATAGTTACGAGCGCAAATTCTACCAAAAACCTACTGTACCGAACAGCGTTTGCCAAAACCCACAAATGAATGAGTTGGGTGTCCGCAACTCTGTACAGTGCCTTCTCTTCTTTCCGATGAAACATCAACAGAAGAGCGCCAAATGCACCATGCTCTGTACAGTACGCTCCGGAACACTAGTAGTGCACCGAACGACTTGTGCGTGACCGATTCCAACGACGACTTATACCGCAACTTGAAAAATTCAAAACTGCGCCCCAGATACACAGCAGCCTATCACGATGCATCAAGGACACCTCAGCTCATCTCCCCGTGTGATACCCTGCTTTTCTTCATTGTAGTGCACGATGCCGAGCCTGCTGCATCCTCCATCTATCGCACGCGGGTGGGGAAGCAGTTGAGAGCGAGTCGAATAGGATTCAATCTGTGCTTCATTTTGGCGCATCATCACTTGTCTCAAGTGTCTTCTAGTGTAAACGCTTTCCTTCAACAGCTTGCAACTGATTCTAGCATTCTACTACTGGCTGCTAGCCCATCAGCATCAGGTGTGTCTCCCGTGTATCCGACAACAGGGTCGAGGGCTAGTAGTGTGGAGGGAATTCTAAAAAAAAAAAACAAAAAAAACAAAAAAAAAACTGCAACAAACAATGGTCGAGAGGGAGCGGCACAATGATTGTGCCGCTCTCTCATGCACACTGTGCATGTGCTAACGCAAGGTCAGGGCATTGCTTGGTGAGAGAGCAGCGCGTTGCACTGGTGGGGGAATCTATTTCTCGCGCGGGTTTCTACCCGATGATATCGCGGGAATTGATACTTGAGTGCGGTAGTGTACAGTACACAGTGCACGATGGTGTGAGGCCGCTGGCCGGTATAGCGCGATGTTGTGCAGTAACAGATTGGCTCCAGTCTGTTTATGCATCGGGGTCCACCGCGTGACCAGCGGCACACGAGACCTGGGCCGCATATCCAATATAAATCAATGAGTGAAAGTCAAAATCAACCATTCGCATCCAACCACTAACGGCCCGGAAAACAAACCCAATTTTGCAAATGCGCCGCGGTTCTAGACCCCCCCGGCTCAAGGACTGGCCTCGCATCTTCCTCCGACGCTATGCGTATATACTGCACCCCTTGGATTTATTGAAAAAACACAGCAAACCCCCGAAAACCCTCGGGGTGCACTGGCGGCAGCGTGACGGGAGAGCAAGGCACACGCAGGGCATCATGATCAAGCCAGAGTCGCGTCTCATCTCGCCTGCTTGCGTCGGCCGCATGCTTGACAAACTGGCCCCGCTTGGAGTAGCAGCGTGCCATGTGGCACATGTCCGATCGCGCACACCTCTCCCTCACGCACTCTCGAGTGCGAGACGGACCAAGGCATCATTTCGAGAGGCACCACACTCCCCCATCCCAATCCCCCAGTTACATTCATGCATCAACTTTTTGGTTACGGACAGAACCATCCTCCCCCCAAAATCAAACTGGAATCCACAGTCGTGTCACGCTCGTACCGCACCGATACAATATCTCAACATGTCTTTCCCTTATGCGTCGGTATATTTTACACAACAAACAACCAAGCTTGAACGGTATATCTTGCCTTTGCTTGACGCATACACACCCTCGCCTCTCTCGGGCGAGACCTCTTCGGTGTCTGGTGTGATAATTATACAAGAATGGAATCAGGCCTTTCATAATTAAGTAACTACAGTACAGAGTACAATAGGTACAGTACTGAGCATGCCAGCCTTTCTGAGGGGATGAATGAGTAGAGTGGAAGCGTTCAGAATGTGACATGCTGCTCGAATTGCAAAAACGTTGGCCTATTGTACACTCCGTGTACGGTTTTCAGGTCCAATACTCTTTCACTTTTCTTTCTTCTGCCCCGATTTTGCATCCACTACTGGTGTGGTGGACTGTGCGACATCAAGGTCGATACTACCGTATCACAACGGGTACACGACATTGGTATAATAACATGCGTTGGTGTCTGCGTGTTGCGCTGTCTCTCAGAAACTATCTCCAAAGCAGGAAAACCATTTACGGGCATCTTGTACATCACAGGACCACCAAGGCTGGGCTCACAGCCCTCTGCATAGAATTCGTGAGATATTCATAACGGCCAATGTTTGAGGGTTTTGGCAAGTTGTCAGCGTTCGTATGTGGTTGTTTGAGTGTTGTTGTAGACGTTGAAGACGTTAAAAATCCGCTTCAATGACCTGACCCTCATGGATCGTGAGGCTCACGCCCAAGTCTACGACTTTACCGAGAGTTGTTGGCCGTAAAGCATGCGGTCCGCAGACTGTCTTGTTCCTCTCACGACAAGATGACAGGGCAAAGGCTGCGGAAACATATCTGTTTTATCTTTTTACCATAGTATTCTATTTTCGATGTGGAGACAGGTAGAGCGGAAGAGGTCGAGTTTGATTTGATAGCGACCTGTGAGGCACACAGGATTTGTAAAGAAGGGCAAGGAGGTCGATGAGGGGCGAAAGCTAATGTTAGAATGAGCAAATCATTCATACTGTACGATGCGAATGCGGACTGGAAGCATGCGGTGAGGATGCGTGGGTGAACAGTTCCCATGAAGGCTGAGTAGCTAGTGTTGAAGGCCCTTCTGTGCGTGTGTGGTTTACCGGGCATGAAGACAGAGGATTGGGGGGCGGGGTATGAGAGGAATGCTCTGATTACTGTATACCAAGATGCAGAGGTGGTATGATTCTATAGTACAGCATTGGGCTTGTTGCATGGAACAAGTTTGGATTCTGTTGATAGGAGGGGGGGTCACGCTGCGGTCGAATGGAAGCAGAGGTAGAGAAGGCATGCATTGAGTGGGTGGGAGAGAGGGAAAAAAGAAGCGGAGATACTGAAGCATACAGCGGCGAATGGAGACTTTCGGGTGGGAGAAAGATCCAAGCTGGGAGGCCCAATCAAGACGCGGGATATGAGGGATGGAATGGAAAGAGTGTGAGGGGAGCGAGGTTGTAGGAAAGACGCGCGAACCTAGCGTCAGGATTGCTGTAGTAAAGAGCATTGGGCGCGGGACGGAGTGGGATTGGGCGAAGGGTTATTAGAGTGCGTTGAGGGGAACGGGGTGGGGTGGGGTGGAAGGGTTGTACAGTACTTGAAGTTGGAGGCGGATGAGGGA